ACGATATGGCTGGAGAACAGTTTTCAGGCCCTTGGTTTGCTGCGGAGAAGAAACAGCTGCAAACATCCATGAATAATCAAAGTGAAACGGTCAAAGGATGAATCTAAGAAATTGGAAGTCATTAAAACTTGAAATAACCCCCCCAAGATAGATATCTCAGGCGCTCTCTCTCTCTCACTGCCACTGATGCTGACTCATGATGACCTTATATGACAGAGTAGAGCTGTCCTTGTGGAGTAGAGCTGTCCTTGTGACTTTCCTAGACTGTAACTCTGCAGGAGTAGACAGCCTTGCCTTTCTCCCAAGAAGTGGTTTCAAACTGCCCACCTTGTAGATCATAACCTAATTTGTAACCACTATCCCACCAGGTCTTCTTCTCTCAGGCTTTAGCGAATGGAAATGGACTGGTATTGACCATTTTGAATCAGATAATCATGTGGCTTACTCTGCTAGGATGACAAGTCCAAGAGGCATGGCATCACATTCATCATTTCAACGAATCATTTGAAATTTATCTTAAAGTACAATGCTGATTGTGATTGAAGAATATCTATATGCCTACAAGGAAGACTAGTTAATATAACTATTATTCAGATTTGTGCACCAACCAGTAAAGCTGGTGATGAAGAATTCTACGAACTTCTTCATTCTGAAATTGATCAAATATGCACTAAATATGCACTGATAATTACTGGTGGTTGAATGTGAAAGTTGAAAACAGAAGAAGGCTCAGTAGTTGGAAAATATAACCTTGGTGATGGAAAGTGTCTTACGATGGCATGATACAAATTTGGAAAACAAAGGACTTCATTGAAAGTTCTATTTCTCAACAGCATAAACAGCAACTATATGCATGGATTTCACCAGAGAGAACAGACAGGAATCAAATTAACTACATCTTTGGAAAAAAGATGGAGACACTGAATATCATCAGCCAATGCAAGGTCAGGGACTATGGGACAGAGTATCAATTGCTCATATAGTTCAGGTTTAAACTAAATTAAATGAAAATAAGTTCACAAGAGCCAAAATATGACCTGGAATAATTCCACTTCAATTAGAGACGATCTCAAGAACAGATTTGATACATTGAAAACGAGTGAGTTGTAAGGTGATATCAGCAACATCATACATGAAGAAAGCAAAAGTTTATTCAAAAGACATGAAAGGAAAAAAGGCCAAATTGGATGTCAGTAGAGACTCTGACGCTTGCTCGTGAATGTAGAGTAGCTAAAGCAAATGGAAGAACTCATGACGTAAAAGAGTGGAACACAAAATTGCAAAAGCTAGCTTGAGAAGACAAAGTAAACATGATAACAAAATGTGAAAGGTCCATTAGTTGGAAATCCAAAAGGGAGGGGTTCACGTAGCATTTCTCAAGCTGAAAGAACTAAAGACAATTTCCAGCCTGGACTTGGAATATTGAAAGGTTCTACAACCAAATTAACTAATTATGCAGGAAATGTCAAAAGGAGATGGAAGGAATATGCAGAGTAATTGTACCAAAAAATGGTCCATGTTCAACCATCTTAAGAGCTTGCAGTGTAAGATCAAGAACCGATGCTGTTCATGGAAGAAGTTCAAACTGCACTGAAAACATTCGCTAACCACAAGGTGCCAGGACTCGATTAAATATCCATTGGAAGGCTTCTGCCATGCAACGTGGAAACACTCACTAGTCCATGCCAAGAACTTGGTAAGGCAGCCATCTGGCTAGTTGAGTGGGAGAGATCCATATTTGTGCCCATTCCAAAGAAAGGTGATCCAGCAGAATGTGTAAATGATTGAACAGTATCATAAATAGCTCCAGCAATTAAAATTTTGCTGAAGATAATTTAAAAATGGTTGCAGTAGTACATCAACCAGGAGCTGCCAGAAACTCAAGCCAGATTCAAGATATTGTGGAATGAGGGAATGATATCAGATGAATCTTGGCTGAAAGCAGAAAAGAGCAGAAAGCTGTTTATTTGTGTTTACGCTGACTTGGAGCCGATTTGAGGACACCTAACAACAGTTGGTAAAAATGCTACCATATCTGTACAAAGGTGTTAGTATTTATGCAGGGTGCGCACACGTGTACAGTATAGTCATAGTCTGTAATTGCTCAACATTAAGCCTGGCCCTCAATGAAATTACTGCTGTCAAATCTGACTCATAACGCCCCTCCAGGGCAGGATAGAACTGCCCCCATGGGTTTCTGAGACTGTAACTCTTTATGGGAGAAAGAAGCCTTGGCTTTCTCCCAAGGGGATGACTGGTGATTTCAAACTGCTAAGCTTGCACTTAGCAGCATAACATGTAATGGCTGTGACACCAGGGTTCCTATCCCTTAATAAGGGAGTGATTAAATAAATTATGAAACCAGCATGATATAGAGAACAATGCAGTCATTAAGGAGCCAGCATCGGTGGCATGTCCACGACAAACTGCAAGCTCCAGGGCAGTAAATAAAATGGAATTCCATTCCTGTAGCATCCCAGATCTGAGTATGGGTGTTGGCACCTATACAGGGAATCTTCATTATTGGAATCTCTCACCGTTAAGTGGTTGAGTGGGGGTAAGTAAAGGTAGTTACAGAAAGTAAATATTCACCCACAGCCCCCAAAACTTGTAAAATAGTCTTCATGCCATCACTTTCCCCACTCAGTGCCAGAATCTCATGCCACAGTCTGCCACTTGCTGATTGTGGACTTGGTAAACTTGGTGTGTTAGTCTGGGTACTTTAGAGAAACAAATCCACAGAAACTCATGTATAAGAGAAAGTTTTATATAAAGGTTACGTGCACATCAAGAAAACATCCTAACCCAGTGCTGCCCAAGCCCACAAGTCCAACATTAATCCATTAACCTATATGTCCAACAGCAATCCACAAAGTCCTCCTCCATCTCACAAAACACATTCTATGGCATTGACTGCAGGAGGAAAGCCAAAACAGTGAACGTGTAAGCATCTCAGTGCTGGCAGGAGTCTCCACACAGCTGCTCCAGCTCCCAGGGCTGCATCCGGGTAGGTCCACGTGGCATCTCCTCGGGGATGTCTTGCAGGAAGTGAGCCTTGCCAGCTGAAGCAGGAAACTGGCTAAGGCAGCTGCACCCTGGTCTGACCATCAGAAAGCAAGAGACCGGAACTAGAAAGGCGAGGCTCACTGAGCCATTTAATCTCTCTGCCATTTAATTAACTCCACATGTGTTTATCAGTCAGGTTGGCACAATAAACTACCTCAACTATTATCAAAGAAATAAATACAATAAATTAGGGCTAACCCCCACCCCCTCAGCTTTCAGAGGATTTCAGTATAGAGAGTAGGGCCAAAGACGAACTCTGAGAGTGCAGAGCCAGGCATGGAACCGCCCCTTTGGTAAAGAGGAGGTAAAGGCCAGCTAAAAGCCCAGCTGGTGTCTCCATGACTCCACCGTCCTGGTCAGACGGGCAGCTGGAGTTCTGCTGTTTGTGGACAAGGTCAAGTCTGGTGAAGCATGTGGAACCGTGGGGAGAGGGGCCTTTTCAAAGAACTCAGTGTGGTTTCTACAGAAAGCTTGGGCTTTCTCTACTGAGACAAGCCACTGGGTGCTCGGCCCTTTCTGGAATCTCTCCTGGCCTCAGGCTAAGTCTTGAGAGATCAGAGCACTCCCTCTTTACATTCTGTTGTTGAGCCCCACCCTCCAAACTCCCCTATGTCTATTTAACCATCTAGAAAACATTTATGGAGCTTTTGGGAGAAATAATCAACTGCTAATTGAGGCCCCCAACCTCTACTTTTTTGTTGCTAATGAGAGAGGGATGCAAGCATTGGAGATAGGAAAAATTTATACAGAGGCAGGACTTAATAACCCTTATTTCTCTGAGCCTGCAGCCTTGTTCTCATCAGGGAGGATCCTCCCAGGGTATGCTCCCTGCAAGAAGGTACCTACTATTTCCAGGTGCCCCAGAATAAATGGCCCCCATCTGGAGGTAAGTCCCAACCCCGCAGCTGTTGCCATTGAGGTGGTATCTACTTGTAGCGACCCGATGTAGGTTTATAGGACCGAACATCTTTGGAGGTGCAGACAGCCGCATTTCTCCTGAGGAAGGGCCAGTGAGTTTGAAATGCTGACTTCTTTTGGTAGGCATTCAATGAGCCCCTTTTATAAAGACCCCCCCCAAAACAAACAAACAAACAACCCCAAACGTTTGAGGGGGAAAGCTTTCAGATCAGATTGTCTGTTCAGGTGGCAGACTGGAGCTAAACCAGGTGTCCCAGCGGTGCCCAGAGCCAGCGCTTAGGTCCGGAGCGCTCAAGAGGAAGATGGGGTGACTGGCTCCCGTAAAGACGAGTCTGGGTAACCCTCTGAGACGGTTCGGCTGGGTCCTGTGGGTCACTATGAGTCAAACTGACTTTGTGGCACCGAACACTAAGGCTAAAGAGGTTGCTGGTCACATCCCTGTGGATTGCAGATGATCTTTTAGGGGCAATGTGAGCAATCAATCCAAGCCAAATAAAAAGACATACTTAAAACGTCCCCTCTGACCGTAGGCCAGAGATGTGAATGGCCTTCTTCTCATGCAAAATGCATCGGAATGAGGATTGTTGCAGATGCAGTTAGATTAAAATTTGACATTCTATCACTGCGTCTCCCTTTTGACCCTTTATATATTTGTTCTAGTTTTTAATACATTCTGTTTCCCTTTCAATAGAGTTTTTCTCTGTTATTGTTGTCAGCATATTTTCTTTTCTGCATATTTAATATTTTTCTTATCTATGAAATCTATGACAAGTAAATCAATAGAGACAGTAAGTGGATGTGTGGTTCCTTGAGGGGATGGCAGGGGGAAATGGGGAGCCAGTCACAATGAGGACAAGGAAGAAGAAAACATTCTAAAATTGTGGTGATGATCGTATAACTCTTCTTAAGATGAATGAACCATCGAAGTGTGTGATTGGCAAATTATATAACAATAAAATGTTAAATTGAAAAAAAGAGTCAACAACACAATTGCTAATTTCTTTTTTCTTTTTTTTTACTTGAAAACTTGGTTCAACCATCAAATTTTGGCAGTTAGAAACCTGTACAATATTGGGTTCTTATTTTTGGTGTTTTTTTTGTTTTGTTTTTTTAAGAAAAGGAACACGAGACCGAATACTGCCAACAGCAATATATGCAGGAACAATGCATTTCCACCAGGGACAAGAGCCACTCTAAGTGTTAGCTTTCCCCTTTGCATAAGGTTGGGTTGAGTGAAAGTTCAGGTGAGGACTCAGATGTGTATGAAGAAATGGCAATACCTCATTGTGAATCTGAAATGGTATAAAAATCAGCTACATAATAACCGGGCAGAACATGTTCATTAAAAAAAAAGAAGTCAGTAAAAATCATTTTTTTTTTTTTGAAAACAAAAGTTAAATGAAAACAACTAGCAGGTTGTTTTATCCAAAAGAATCCAAAAGAAGTTTATAAGACAATTGGAAATGATTACAAAACATTGTTTGCAAATTTAAAATCCGTGTGTGTGTGTGTGTCTGTGTGTGTGTGTGTGTGTACACCTCAAAGTTTGCAGACCAAACGCTTGGATGACTTAAAATTCTTTTTGAACCTCCCCTCCCCAAATTAAAGCATCCGGATAGGCATCAAATGCAGTTATCTACAAAAGCTTGGAAAATCGAAACCATTATATACAATTTTATAAACATTTTAAACACCAAAACATACATCTTTTACAAACCAGCCTGTTTGCAACAGGTAAATTTACAAGACAATCTTTCTGATACAGTGCTTAAAAAGAACTGCTTCCATTTCCAAACACATTTGTCACTTCCCCCCACCCCGAAATGCAGTAGTATGGGCTCATAAAATTGTTAAATAGTAGCAATTCAGGTACTTGTTTGCGGAAAGGGTACTACAGTACAGACTAATGGTCCAAACACACTCCAAATGACTTTGTGATTCTCTAGTGCATCCTAAACACTGGAAGAGACTAATTATGGCCTTTGTGTAATATTACATACTTGTAATTATTGCTTTTCATTATTACATAAGGAAAGAAATATCTCATTCTTTTCCTGGCTCTTAGCCAGCTGGCTAAATATTAACTGATGACAAACCCACAAATGGCGACTTTAAGCCCCAGAATTCCATAGCTAGTCGTTTGAAGACTGTGGATTTTCATCAGAATAATGTGCAGTTGCAGGACACAAACCAGCGGAAAATACAGGACTACCTTCTTACAGACCACACAGAATGACAATACAGAAGAAGCGTCTCTTCATAGCTCCATCTCCCACGGTGTGAAATGGAAAACAGGAAGCATGAGAGCCCGGCCGCCTTAGCAAGACGAGCAGCGGGCAGCGGGACGAAGAGGCCAGACAATTAGCTCGACAATCCATGCACAACAAACACTGGATCTTCCTGAATGATTTCAGACTAAAGTGTTTTCTGGGTCTTGGAAGTGATTCATCCTAATCATCTCAGTTTCCCTGACTTTGATTGTGTAGACACAGCATTAGTGGGAGCAGCAGGTTGGGTGGCTTGGAAAGAAGAAAGAGGGGTCAACAGAATGCATGTTGCTTTTTCCCCCAGGCTGTGCTGAGAATTCCAAAGGGCAGTTCAAGGTAATGTTCAGGAATGCGTCATCAGTTCCCTTTCTGGCCCTTCACAGTGGCTTTCTGATCAACTCACGTTGCCAAGTCTTCTAGGTTGGCATTTCATGGGTACACTGAAAGCTGGGGTGGAAGTGACCTAGCAGCCAAACGGAGGAAAGGGACAAAAGCAGGCAACTATTTTCATTCATCTCTGACAACTCTATGACTCCTACTTACGCTATGACAAAGACCCACAATCCACCGATATATCCTCAAGCTAACCAGAGTGTGTGCAATACAGGTAAAGTGCCTACAACAGGTGATGGAAAAACTGGCTCCCAGGAGGTAGCATATGTTAGGAACACAAAAACACAAAGATTGGCTTAAACAGTTCCCGTGTGAAGCAAATTGTGGAACAAGACTCAAAATCACAAACACGACCACGTTTACTGGTTGAATAGAGACTGGTGGAACCCAGAGACCAGGGCCTGTAGTCATCCTTCGGGGCTAGAAATGAACCCACCCCCGTGGCTCAGGGTTCACAAAAACCACAGCGAGGATTCCACTGTGCATCATAATACCAGGGAGATACCCCTGCCTCAGAATGATCAGTCATTTGGCATCAAGGGGGCAGCATCCACCCAAGGACAAAGCTCAGCAAGCAGGAAGGGGAAGGGAAGGAAGAGGTCTGGAGATAGGAACTCCGGAGAAGGAGTGAGAGAGGTGATACTTCTTCATAGGCATTGCCATCAGCAGCAGGAAACAAGATAGGGATGGATTGTGGACTGGAACGTGGATTTGCTCTGTACACTTTCACCTAATTCACAAGGACAGGTTTGAAAGAATGCCCACAGGGCCCATTAGGGTGGCAGGGTAAGGACCCAAAGGAAGACTGAGCGGGAGGAAAACAAAGACTCAAACAAAAATGGACCCGCTCGGCAATGTGAAAACCAACGTTTTAGCACAAGGTGTAAATGTAATGATCATTTCAGTTATGTAATGATCATTTCACGCCATTAAAAAAAAATCATTTGGCCAAAGTCATGTTTTTCTACAGAAAGTTGTGACATCTACCTGTCCCATGGGCCTGACAGGGACCATCAGTTCGTGAGGCTGCCCAGGAAACATCCTCCAGGAGTCTCCTTTCCTAGCATATTCCAAAGCAGGAATGGTAGGCGTCTAGCTGCTAGACTAGAGCAGAAGCAGGTGACTACCATGCTCAAGGTAGTTCAGTGGTGACTGGCATGTTATACAGAAATAATATTTCTGTAAGGAGTGGGCTCCCGTTCCCGTTTGGTCACATAACTTCCTGTGCAACGGTGGTCAAGTTCCTTCCCCTCTCTGGGCATGCTTCTAGGGATCCTGAGCGAGCAGCACGTCAGTTCATCTTGAGCTCTTCAAATCCGCGTGCACCCCCACCCCCCACCCCAGCCCCTCTTGGCCAGGAGACAAACCATTTCTTACTTTATAGGGAAATCTAATTTTCCTAGGGTGGGAGAAAAAAAGTGAAGAGATATTATGTGTTTAAAGATAATGAGTCCAAATATAACATGTGCATGTCTGGTATGCTTTTAGCTACTCTGCAGAAAATCAGGAGGAAAATACTCTGAGGAAAGGGGTATGCTATCTAGGTCAGAGCAAGGGGTGGGCCGAGTTTCCTTCAGTGGGTTCACAGCTGCATTAGGATCTATTTATTCCTTCATTGCGGCATCACTCAGGCATTCTCCCCTGGGAGCTGCTGTGTAAGCAGTGATGACTGGTCCGCATTAATCTTGATCTAATAGTTCCTGGGGGTGAGGGGTAGATTGTTGCTTTTACTTGGATGGTTTCTCGGCTATTGCATTATTGAAAGTGTGACCAGAAGTCTATTTTAGAGCATTGGCTTGTCCTTTTCCCCATGATTCTTGCAAACGTGCTTCTACATAAGAAACTACAGCCAAGACTTTCGTCTCTAAAGCAGACTTAGTGAAATCCCTTTATTTCCAGACCACCGTGTGGCTAATACCACTGTGAGGTGGTTCGAGGAAGAGACAGGAAGAAGAGAGAGGCTGAAAACCTGTCAGGTGGGTCCACTTACGCAGGAAGCTTGGGAACAAAGGGGGGAATTTCCTGAAGAATGGCTCAGAAGCACTAACATAGAAGGAGAAGTCAGTGGATTCGATGCAGTTGAAATAAGTGAATGCTTGTCGGAGTGGATGATTGGCAGACTGGGGACAATATGGTTTACACACCAATGTCATATGCCATCCGAGACTGTGGACACAGATTTGCTCATTAAACAATAGTGCAAATATACATTCCTTTGCCATGGCCCCTGCACCCGCAGCCACATGGAGACGGAAGCAATGGAGGCCAGTCCTTCGCTTAACCGGCTGGCTTGAAGTTTCGTGTAACTTTATTTCCAGTGGAACAATTCTCCTTTCAATTTTAGCAATTCGTGGCCCAAACCTGAAGGTCTGAATGAGAGGAGAGGCCCAGGGAATAATGAAACATTACAGAGTCTTCCAGTTGGGTTTAGATCTGAAAAATGATAACAAAACACTGCTTTTACAAAGCACAATTCTGTTTCCCGTGGCTATAAATGGTAGTAGCAAAATAAAGCCAACTAAACCGGAGTAAAATGATGGCATTTGGTGTTTCTCTGACCTCAGAGAGGGTCAGGGAAATGGGAAGTTCTGCCTCGTGGGCAGGGTTTGCAACATGGTCCGTGTCCTGAAACCTTCACCTCAGTGTTCCTCAAGAGCAGCCCGATTGAGTGCAAGCCCATCTTCGAAGGTAGGCCCAGACACACACACTCTTACCATTTATATACAACAACGACGCGACTTTCCTTTTAAAACCATAATTGCATTTATAGTGACGATGCTAACAATTTAGAGGAAAAAGCACCCTTTACCTGCATTATCAAGAATTATGATTATCCAGCCTGAAAAAAACTTGCAAAGCATCATATATGTATTTTTCGGAATTTGTGAATTCTGCTTCAGCTTCTAAACAGTTTTCATTTAAGAGAGCAGACATCCTTCTCCCTCCCTCTCTCTATTCACTTTCTGGGTCTCAGAACAAAGGCCAATTTCTGTTGCAATGCTCGCATTGCAGCGGTCCTCAGGAATTTTTAATGAACCCAAACCAGACAATCACATTCTTTCTAATGCTCGGATCACACGATCCTTATCTCTAGCCCTCAGAAAGGCATCCAAATACCTCACCTTTCTCAGAGATGAGAAAACCCAGGTACATTACATTGGATGCTGAAACAAGCAAACAAACAGAAATAATTGAGCATAGTCAACACGTCATCTAAGCCTAATTTTATAGCTGAAAATTGGGCAGCTTATTTAAAAAAAATAGAATTTAAAGGCTTCAGCCCATTTTCTTGTTGGCTTAATAATATTTTATTTTTGTTCCTCTTGTCTTTTACCTAAGAGACTAGCTTTCCAACCATCATAACTACTCTTTCCACTCCCCCGCCCCACATCCCATGCAACAATGCCCCGTTGATTGTTGCCCATTCAGAATACTGCAGGCCATTCCAGGGCACAGTACTGCACAAAGCCACTGAAGAGCCACCAGGTAACTCAGCGGGTGAAATCACCTTTTGCCCTCTAAAAGCTTGGTGTGCCTTCTTTGCCATGGAGGTAGGGAAGTACTGCCAGGGCTCTCAGTCACCCCTTGGAAACAATTTCTGAACCCTTCATTTCCACCCAATTGGAATCGAGCTGGCTTGTGACAGCGTCCCGGGGGAAGAAGTTCCTAGCGGAAAATACTGTTCTTTCCTTCTCGCTCCAGACTGCAGCACTCCCCCTCTCCATTGAGACGGGCGGGCGGACAGACGGACGCCCAGCCCATCTCCCTGGACGTTGCGATGACAAACAGCGCTGAGTCCCCTACACTTGGGTCTGGTGCTGCGTCTCCATGAACGGAATGTGGAGGCTGGCCAGGCTGAGCTCCCCTACGCTCTCATAGTCGCTCATGGCCACTTCGGACTCGTCAAAGCCGCAGTTGGCCGACACATCCGAGGACGAGGTGCCTCTGGAATTGTGCAAGGATAAAGACACGCCGTCTGCCGGTCTCGCGGCCTCGGAGCCCTGGTTCAAGTTCACAGCAAAAGTACTAAATTCACAGCCGGCAGGTGGGCCCACCAAGTCCGTTTCGTTGGGGAACGAGTGGGGAGGGAGGTACTGGCTGGGGTGGAACTGCGGCCGCCGCCTGCAGCCTGGGCTCAGGGTGCCAGCCAGCGAGACAGGCTGCGAGGGCGGCAGCGCCTCGTACTGGTCTGCGAAGTCCTCCGGCAGGGGAGGGGGCAGCTGGTCCTGACTCAAGAACTCTTCTTCATGGGGGGGTGGGTATTCGCTGTCGATGTCATAGCCGCCCAGGTAGTAATCGCTCTCCAGCTCCCGGGGGCCGCCCTGATGTGCGGAGCCTCCGTCCTGGTTTTCGTGGGTGGGCACTTCCTCTATGTCGGACAGACGGGCTCCAGGCATCCAGTCGGAGGTATCCCAGTGATAGGCTGCGAGGGAAAATCCAAGGCAGTTAGCTTCCTCCAGGCTAGGGCTGGGGCGGGGCTGGGAGAGGAGCCCAGAGGCACCTGACATGCAGGTCCTAACTTTCCAGCCTTCAGAAGCCAGCGTCATCCGCATGCTCCTTTGAAGGGCCGCGCCCAGGGGGAGGGGGGAAAGGTGTGGGCAGCTAGCTCCAGGAGAGGTGCCTGGTTGCTGCAGAGCCTCACACTAAGCCATGCCATGGGAAACTGCTAGCAGGGGGGCACTGAGGCACTGAGTCTAGGGCATCCACCCGACCTTCCTCCCTAGTGCCCTCCACGCAGAGCAAGGCTGCCAGCATGCTCATGGACAGATATGCCCCAGATAGACCGTGGACCGCGAAAAGCAGGGGGGGTGGGGGCGTTGCAGGCAAGTGGAGGAGTCACAGGCAGGCTGGGGGAAGATGGGTGGTGAGATTTCCCCCCTGGTACTGAGCACAAAGGACACCTGGAACATGCACAATTCAGGTCAGAGAGCTGGCCGGGGAGGAGAGGATAAGAACAGCCTGGGCGAATCAAAATGCACAAACAGAACGTTATGTCAGGGTCATGGCAGAATCACCTCGGTTGTAGTTCTGTCCTTGATCCATGACAGACACTGTTTAAATACAAAGTGAAAGGTGAAACTTACAAGTCAAGCCGTGGAAAGAGTATGGATAAAGTGGAACATTTTAGATACTCTAAGTAGTTAGTCCAACTAACTAAACTAACTAACTGATAAACAACAAAACAAAACAAACATGCTACGAAAAGTCTATGGGCTATGACCAATGCCAGTCTTTCACAATACCCTCCATTGTGACATGGGAAATAAAAAGACAAAGCCATCTGTAAAGGTTGTAGTCTTGTTCAGAAACTAATAAATGCTACCTGATTCAAAGCAACCCTTGTTCTATTGTAACCATGAATGAGGAGTAGTTACAGTAGGTGCTCAACAAATAGATGTCAAGTGAGCATGAAGTTAGTACTAATCTGGATTCCAACCAACTGGGTCTTCTTCTCTTGGAAAGGATTTTAAAAAAATAGAGCATTCTAATACTAAAAGAAGGAAGAACTAGTTGTTTTAGAAATATTTTAAAATTCATGATAATCAATACACACCCAGCATCTCTTATGAAATCACCTGTTTTCTTCTCCACTTTGGTCTGCGATTAACAACTTTATCCGCCCCCCAACCCACAGCCCCTTGGGCCCTCAGGCCAAAGTAATAAGGAATGAAAAATCCCAGTTCTTTAGACAAAAGCATGCTATGGAAGAAAAACAGTAAATACCTTCATTCTCTATATTGTCAACTACATTGTTGACAAGCTGAATGACGGTCACTATGGATGCTTGTGGTCAGGAAAAGCGGGCGAGAGGGAGGGGAAGGACAGCTTCAGGTTAGTTTTGTATTTTAAACATATGTTAACTTCTCTGAACATCCACAGCAACAACAAAGACGCACCGCACAAACACCCAAACTGTCCCGCAATCCTATCATTAGGCAATCTGGCAACCAGCATCTTTATCTCGGGGGTCCCAGGAAGTCTTGGAATGAAGGAAAATGATGGCAGAGTGAGGGTCAGTCACCCTCAAAGGCATGATTAATAGGGGCTTCTAAGTCATGCATTCAGACTGAATGAAGTGGCCCAGTGAACGACAGTGGGGCCATGACGCTCTTGCTGATTTCTCAGCAGCAACTTGCCCAGTGTTCAGGAGACCTTGCTATTCTCAGGGATACTGATTTGTGGTCGACCATGATGCTCCAAACTCATGTCCAAATGTGGGTGGCAGAGGATGACCTTTGTAAGATTGACAGCTTCGCACGCTTACAATTCTCACCCATAGCCTAAACTGATCCAAGGCCCAGCTCCCATCTCTGGGCCCAACTGTGGATGGAAGTCAGCACTTAACCTCTCAAATAGGTACAGTCCGGGAGGAAGATATCTATGGTCTATACGGATTTCCTTGGGGTTCCTTGGGTGGCATGGATGGTTAAATGTGGATTCATAATGGCAAGTTTGGCCATTTGAATCCACCCAAGAGTGCCTAAAGAAAGAGTTGGAAATTGACTTCTGAAAGGTCATAGCCGTGAAAATCTATGTGCAGATCGCAGTTCTAATCGGCAACATCCATAGTCCAGAGTGAACTGGATAGCAACCGGCACAGGGGTGACCTGGTGGTGTAGTGGTTCAGTGCTCAGCTGCTAACTGGAAGGTCAGTGGTTCAACCCCACCTGCCATGACAGGGACGAAAGATGTGGCAGTGAGCCTTGGACACCCTGTGGGACAGTTCTATCTTGTCCTATGGGGGTGCTATGAGTCAGAATCAACCTAATGGTGCACAGCAACAAGCACCATGAAAAGCAATTTGCTGAAAATGCCTAACACCATCTGCCTTGCTTGAGACCCGCGAGAATGCTGGCATGGAAGGTAAAGTATGTGACCTTCAGGCCACGCACCACAGAGGCCATGAGAATGGTCATTGCTGGCGTCATTGCTGGGGCTCATGCCTGGACCTTGGAATCTATCTGCCCTTGGTTGCTTCTAAATCAAATGCAGATCAGCTACATATTCTCCTCTGGCTGAAGATGCGAAAAACCGTCAGCACAGAGGAAGCCCAGCGATCTGGAGGTGGGCTATGATCCCAATTTAGAAAATGATCAGAAGAAATCCACTGTTGTACGGTTTATTATCCCAGCAGTAAGAGACATGGAAGTGTTTGAGGCTTCTGCACCTCTCAGGAGTGCCAAGTGTTGGGGAAGAAACAGGACGAAATTTAGGGGTGAGGGGAATTGCAAAGGTAGAGTGATTTTACTTGTCTAATGGCTTCTAGGGTCTCAGAATTCACTGACTGCAGGGGCAAGGGCAATGTTGCTTTCATGTTGAATTCCCCATGCCCAGCACTGGGTTTTGCACACAGGCAAAACTCAGCAAGGGTTTATGGGGTAAATGATTACAGAAGTGAATAAGCATCCAATTGTTGCCATTCACCAATGAATGAGAAGCTAAGCAAATGGACAGACCGAAGTGAGGCTGCTTGCCTCTGTGGATGGCTACTTGAAATTATCATTGGCATTCTCTTAGGGTTTCTGACCACTTCTGGGGAGACCAACACATCCCCCAAAGCTGGCTCCTCAGCTCCGAGGACCCAATCCATCCTTAGCACCTTCTCCCTTCTTGGAGATTCTCCAGTTGCAGAGGGAGTGGTTTTGGCATATCAATGAGGCCCACGGACCACATGGAATTGCCTGCAACATTCTGGGTGAGTGTGCATTTTTCTATGGAGCTGATCTGCAGTGGCATAGATTCTCGGGAGGCCCATGTCACCAAAGGATGAATCGGTTGCTGCTCAGTCCATTCTAACTCATGGCGACCTCACGAGTTTCAGACAGGAAGTGAACTTTCTTTTCCTGCCTGTGACCGTTTGGAAGCAGATTGCCAGGTCTTCCTTCTGAGTGGCTTAGAACCACCAACCAACCAAGTACTTCGCTGTGTGTGTCACCCAAGGAGCTCGAAAGGATGGTAACCCAAGAAGCAAACCAAACCCATTGCCCTGCGTCCATCCTGACTCAGAGCGACCTTATGAAGCTGTCTATCTTTCATAGGGCAAACACTTCATTTTGTCCCTGTGGAGCAGCTGGTGGGTTCCAACTGCTGACCTTACAGTTAGTAGCCCAATGAAGAACCCACCTCACTGCTGTGATTTCTTTGAAGGATGATACTCAACTCACACTCACTGCTATCAAGTCGATGTGACTGTTAGCGACTTCATGGGGCATGGTAGAACTGCCCCCGTGAGTTTCTGAGATGGTTGGTGAGAATAGAAAGCCCCGTCTTTCTCCTGTGGCGAAGTTGGCTGGTGGTTTCAAACTGGACCTTTCGGGTTACAGCCTAACACATAACCGACACACAACCAGGGTTTCTAAAGGATAATAAGGGGGATTCAACGGAATGATGATGACAATGCCACTCATGTGTGGGAAGGAGGCATCTAATGTCTAATGCCAGTAAGCTGGGCACGAAGAGGGAAGAGATCACCAGTCAAGTTAAACAAAGAAATACAGCGCTCTGTTTGCTAGAGAGGAGAAAGGGGGGCTTTCTGCTCCAGTGGAGTTACAGAAACTGAAACCCACAGGGGCAGTTCTATTCTGTCCTGTTTGGGACTTGATGGCAGTGCGTGTGCTAGAGAACATTGTGTGGCGTGGGTTCACAACATTGTGAACCAAATCAAAGTGTACTCATTACTAAGGGGCTAATGCCATCCATCCTGAGGGCAGCATGTGGGCTTGTTCCTACTGTTTCTTTTGGAAGTGGGATTCACTGGAGATTAACAGAATCCATTACAAAAGCTGGCGAATGTACTCACAAGCCTCCTGAGCAGATGCTTGAACAGATGCAAATCTAAGCTGCTTCTATCACCTTCCTCCCCACTGCTGCCAGCCCACGCAGGAAGCTGGGCCCAAACCCACGAGGCAAATCTGTTGGCTTCTTACCGTTGTCATCCCCAGAATCTGATTGGAAGGAGCTGAGGGACTGAACCTCCGAGTTGCTGCCTTTATTACTGCCCGCGAAGCAGGTTACTTCTCCGGAGTCGTCAACCCCTTTGTCTTGGTGGACAGCCGCAGAGAGGGAAGAAATGACACTGGTTACCTTGTGCAAATCTGCAGCCCGGCCCCTCCAGAGTTCACGCCGCTGGTCTCTTTCATTGGCTCAGAGAAATGAATTTAACTCCACAATGGAAAATTGATTGTGTCATTGGGGGCAAAGAGCTGTCAATCAAGTGATTTTACATTATGGATTCGAAGACCTTAACCCGTGGTAAATGAGCTTCTAAATAGCTGACAGCGGAAAGTAGCTGTCCCACCCTGCCACCCCCACCCCGCCTCCAAAGCCAAGTGATGGAAGGGGAGAACGAAGGGATGATGAGGTGGCTGCCCTTTGCCACTCAGAGTTAATTTAAATCATTTACACCCCCAGATGTGGTGTCAACGCCAGGTTAAAGGAAATTACTTTAAAAATAGGGGCATAAATATTTTATAGGCAAGGATGCCATTACATTGATCCTAATTTCTCTGGAGGGTGAGTGGAGTTTTCAGCTTGGTCCTTTAGGGGGCAGTGTCGCCTTAGTTTTGGGAATGACCAGGGTCTGCAGCGGGGCAGTCAGCAGTATGGGTGTGCACTTATGCACACACTTCCTGTCCCTTTGCTGGTACATCCACAGCCTGAACAACGCCAACGCACACGCACACGCACACGCACAGTCTCTCTCGGGCACACTCTCTGGCTCTCTCTCTCACTTTCTTATTTGATGGACTAAAGGAAACAATAAAACAGCCTGTATCTTGAGGTTGTCAAGTGAAAAACGAATGAGTCACCCAGAGAGCGTCTTGCCAGCTAACTCTATCTTGCTTCACAAAGAAGGAAATGTGTTTTATGAAAACCCAGCAACACTTGTTGGGGGGTGGGGAGGGGTGGGCAGGGATTGGAGTTTGGGCCTGACTCGGATTCAGATTCTGGAAACAAAGCTGCTACATTATAAAGCGTGGATGGGAGTGAGGGTGGGGGGTGAGCAGGGAAGGAAGGACCCCAGGGAGAGCCTGAAAGCATCACATAAGCTGGTGATACAAAGAGACGCAGGCTCATGATGAAGGACACTAGTTCTCTGAGGCCACAACGGGTGATGTCAGCAGTGGGGGCGGTGGCTCCCGGTCTGCTGTCGGATGCTGAAACCACAGCAAAATGGAGCGTTGGATAAACAACTGCTGTAAGTGCCGAGAGGCGCCAGGGAGAAACCCACCTCCCTACAGCCAGACGGCAGAGGATATGAAGATGTGCTTCGGAACAGGACAAGGTGTACGGTGCACTTAGCACAGAGAGAGGGGTGGGGTGGAGCAGGGTCCCCCTTGAGCATCTGATACCTGGCAGAAAGCTCCTCTCCCCACTCCTCCGCTAAGTCAAAACTCTTCTTTCACCGAGAAACAAACAGGCGCTTTCCTACTGGACTGGCAAGACTGGCGTGAAGACTCGTTCTGTAGATAACTTGAGCGTGGAGAAAACCCACTGGGAGCCTTGTCTTGAAACGCATTCGCTCGCTCTCTGTGGGTGCTCACTGGGCGCCCACTGCCTTGTCTCTCTGCACCCGTTCTGCGCAGGCCTGTGCACCTGCGGCTCTTCCCTGTACCTAGGATCGTGGTGGGCGAGGCCAATAGGCCAGAGAAGTCGCTCACCCCGTGGTTCACACGCTTATTACAGGGACCCTGAACTCCAGCCAAACAGAACAGCTCGTGTTCCCTCAGACCTTTGATAATCCAGCCTGGTCCAGCTCAGGCGGGCCTCTGGTCTCTTCAGTCCTCACTATGAACAGAAATACTCTCCTCCCAGAACACACTTTCTGCCCATCCCTCTGTGGCCCGAGTCACCAGCTCAGAGCAAGCACTGGAGGGAAGAGGGGGGCCTTCGGGTTGCACAGACCTGGGATGGGTACTGACTGCTTCACCTAATTGCGTGGCCTTGGGCACATTATGCCACCTTTTCTGAGCCTCGTCCTTGCCTTCTCCCAATGGTGGTAATCACAAGAGCAGTGCTTCGGGGCTGATGAGAAGATGAAAAGACAGGGCCGTCCCGGTCCAGCTCAGTGAACACCAGTGGATGAAACGGGGGCACACCGGGGCCTACTCACTGTCAGTTCCTGCATCCCAGCCGTTCTTCCGGATGGAATCGCAGTCCGACCGGCAGGGGGACACTGCTGGCAGGTTGGGGGCCACGCTGCACACGACCACACCCCGCCTGGCAGTCAGGATGCGGGGGGACTCCGGGTGGAAGGTGGTCATCTCCTGGTGCTCGCCCCCCAGCCCATCCACAATCTTATCCAGGTTGCTCCTGGAGTCGCTCTGGAAGCAGGGCGTGTAGGCCATGGGGCGCACGGGGACCTGCGGCGGCCCCACCTCCTGGTAGACATTGCGCCCATCACCCCGCAGGTTCCGGAAGGGGATGCCATTGCTCTTGTTGAGCAGGGCGGCCGTGGCGGGGTCCTGCACCAGCGTGATGTTGTTGCGGGAGTAGTTCTTCCGGAAGACCTTCTTGCGGAAGACGATGAAGAGGATGATCAAGATGAAGATGACGAAGAGGACCACGGCGATGCCGATCAGCTCCTCCTTGCCCACGTAGGAGTGGCCCGCCTGGATGTCGGGCACCACCACGGGGCGCAGCCCGCAGTACTGGCCCACGTAGCCGGGCGTGCAGTTGCAAAGGAAGGAGCCAAACAGGTTGACGCAGGCACCTCCGTTCTCGCACTCCTCTCGCTCGCACTCGTTGATGTCCTCCTCACACCTGCGGCCACAAAGCACGTCTCACACACGGGGCCTGCAGACACGGGCTCCTCGCCCCCCCCCCCTCCCCCGCGAGGCTCGAGGTTCGAGGCTGGGGAGGGGAAGGTGCAGGCCCACTCATGGCCCCCAGTCACCATCATGACTTAGGCTGCTTCACTCACCAGCCCTTCCCGTTGGTCTGATTCAACCCCAGCGGGAGGGGGGTGGGGAAAGAACACGCTGCTGAAGAGGTCTACAAACTCAGCTGTGTTTCGAAATTAAAAATGTGCAATTTTTTAATATGTCATTGATGAAGGATTCATGAGTGTGCGAGGGTGGGGAAAACAGAGGAGCTAATACCAAGGCCTCAAGTAGAAAGAAAATGTTTTGGAAAGGCTGATGGCAACATATGTGCAAGTGTGCTTCATACAATTGGATGATAGCTTGTCGTAAGATGTGTAAGACGCCCACCCCCATGAAATGATTATTAAAATATTTTAAAAATAAAAAATGTGCAATTTTACAAAGGTTCTAGAATGCCCCTCTTGGATTAGGCAACTCCCCAGCCACCATCCTAGTGACTGCTGCTGTATCTATATACTCTTCAGTTGATTCGGACGCATGGTGACCCATGTGAGTCAGCGTAGAACTGCAGTCCATGGAGTTTCAATGGTAGATTCTTTTGAAAGCTGACTGTGATGGCCTGGCCTTTTGTCTGAGGTTCCTCTGGGTACACTCAAACCTCTAGCTTGTGGGTTCGCAGCCAAGCTTGTACAGTTCACTAGCCAGCGTCTTTGGTGCTGCTGCCGAGAGCAAAATGAAACCAAGGGAAAAAGAACTACCAATTGCCCTTGAGTGGACTGACTCATAGCACCTGACGGGCAGAGCAGACTGCCTGCCATGCTTCTTACTTCTCCAACAGCGCAGCTGGCAGGTTCACCTTTTGGTTAGTAGTTGAGCACTTTAACCACTATCCCAACAGGGCTCCTGGGTTGGGCGCAGGAGCCCATAATCACCCATACCAATGTTTCTAACAGCGTCTCTACAGTGAAATGTGGCTATTTAGACACAATGAGGGAATAAAAATGCTTGGGCCAAGTGTTTTCACCAATTTAACCCAAATCCGTTTAGTTCTCGGAGCTTTGAGGACTACAGAATGGCAGATAAACCGCTGTGAACCACAGAAGCAGAAGATAGTTTGGATTTTGACATTCTCGTTCAATGGTAGCCATCATGGTTATAGTCGTTTTTGTTCTGTCGGGGAAGCTGGGGGTGGGGAGCAGGGATAGATGGGTGGGATGAGGGCTACATAGCTACCTTTCTTCTGCATCCTGTGCTTATGCTACAAGTCAACGCTAATGACATTAATAGGAGACAATGAAAAAGTCTTTCAATGAAATAATTACATCAGTTTTATTCCCTGTAAAGCAATTCATGCTCTTTTAATACTTGCTTTGAGCATAATCCTCAGGCAAACATTAAGGCCCTGTGCTTTCTAAGTTGGGCATTATTTGAGAACATGGCCCTTCTCCTTTCCTCCTCCTGTTTTCCCTACTTCAAACATGTTCAAATAGGCTCTTTTCAAACCCAGTTACTTTTTTTTTTTGACCATCCACCTTTTGCAGGATAGTCAAGCATCCTTAAATTGAAGAGACTGGAGCGAGGTCAGCTGGAAATTAGTCAGAATCACAGAGTTGCTTAAAAATAAATGTAGCTTTCTTACTCAATTTTACACCTAATGATTCAAAGTTGGCTAAAATTAAATACAACTCTAAGTGATCAAGGATGGTTCAAAGTGGTGGTTTCTTAAGACCTGAGAACATTCCCCTTTTGTCTGGCTGGCACTTTAATTTTCTGGGGGGGAGACCTATCTGCAATGGAAAGGTATGGTTTAGCTCCTCAGAATGATGATAAAGTGCTGGGTGGTAGAGCCCAGCCAATGGGTGGTGGGGAAAGACTGGAAACATACTGGAATATTCTGAAACACACTGGGGAATCTTAGGTGGGAGAGATGCCTTCTTGTAGAATAATTGGTGTCCGAGTGACAATATATGTTAAATTGTTTTAAAATATAGACTAAAAAGTAAATAAGTCACCCACAATCCCACCTCTCACAGCTAATCCCTGTTAATGTTTTAGTCACATGTAGCTATTTTTTAATATAGTAACTGTATTAATCTGCCACGTTAGCGGTAACGATCCGACCCCAGTGAGCTGTATTTTGACTCCTTTCTTAGCAACAAGAAGCAGCCTAGAGTTCAAACAACTACTGCGCAAGCGTACTTACGTGACTCCCGTGAGCCCATCTTTACAATTGCAGATGAAAGCGTTCCCAATTGGGTCACAGGATCCTCCATTCCGGCAGGGGTTAGGGAAGCAGGCTGTAATCTCGGATTCACAGTTTCTCCCGGTGAACTGTGAGAGACAGGAACACTGATAGCCTGGGGAAACAGAGGAGCGCATGAGCCTCCGATGCCACCGCTGGGGACGCTCAGGAGGCCCCGCCTGCGTGGGACATAGTGTCAACCAAATCTGAAGCAGGGGCTACATTCCTAAGACAGCAAATGGCTTCTTATTGAAACTCTGAATACACCTTGTTACAAGGAATGATTTGGATGCCCTGCTACATCCAATTCAGTTCCACACAAATCCACCCAAATAACCACATAGGTGGATACTAGTAGGCGAGCCACGAGTCTGAGAAACAGGTTTCTGGAGTGGAGACCAAGAAGGAAGGAAGATGCTTTGGTGGGGACCACTCTATCACTGTATGAGGCAGGGGAGAGTCCTGACTATTTGTACTCCATTCCTTTCCCGTCCCCCATGCTCTTCCTTCTCAGTTGAGACGGAAACCCCACCTGGGGAAGAGGTAGGTCAAAACCAGGCCATCTGCTGGCGCAGCGCCACCTCAGAATGACACACCACCAGGGGATGGAATGGAAGAAGCGCTGCTCTCACCCCACCCTCCCGATTTGTAGCCCAATTTCCCACATCTCCCCCTTTTCTTACGCACGAACCCACTGTGTGGAAATGGGTGGACAGATCTCCATTGAAAAGAATATCGCACATCAGACTAATAAGATTCTCAGGGAGGCCTGGCGGTGGGTGCAGTGGTCTGCAAACTGCAAAGCTGCCCCTTAGAAGCCTCTAGCTGCTGTCCGCTCCTGTTAAGAAGGAGAGCCTTGGAAACCCTATGGGGCCGTTCAACTGTCCTACAGAGTTGATATGGGTTGTTTGACTTAATGACAGTGAGTTTGTATTTTGTTTTAAGGGTCAAAGATCGAAGGTATTTCCTCCCATAATGAGAGAAAGGATGAATAATCAGAAAAGAGTTCCTTCTCTCCTTTTAAAGAGACTTAAGAACTTAAAATTAAAGCTATATATGCATGCAGTACGGGTTTAGTTTGTAGACCAGCAGGCTGCCCTCTCTCTGTCCCTCCTGAGAAGTGACTGGGGCATCAGTTTTAGTATTTTGGTATTTACTGTTCATGTTTTGCTGCTTTATGATTATTTTAGTTTGGATCCTCCATTATATTTTAACGTAGAATTTAGCTGCCTTTCCTCGCCCCAGCCCCCCCATACCTTGAGTTCCCACAATAAGGGGAGGCCCTTCTCATGTCCTCAACCTACCAATCTATTGTAATAGTGCAATTTCCAAAGGTTTCCGTAAATGGACAGTGTTTCCATCGTTTATGACGATGACACATTACTTAACGCCAAGCTATGTGGTAGACTATGATCTTTTCTCCGGAGTGAATAACGGTCCCGTGTTTGGGTTTGCTCCTGTGTTATGCACTAAGTGTTCCTTGCGAGTGCCTGGGTATCACAAGTAGTGAAGTGTGCTCCACCACCGACAGAGAGGTTGGTAGTTTGTACCCAGAGCCACCTCAAAAACAGGGAGTCCAGGGCGGATGATCCCTATGGGACCAGTGGTGTGAGTGGCGATGCTGGGAGGGTGGAGGGAGAGTGGGTTGGAGGGAGGGAACTGATTGCAAGGAACTATATGTGACCTTCTCCCTGGGGGACAGACAACAGAAAAGTGGGTGAAGGGAGACGTCGGACAGGGCAAGATATGGCAAAATAATAATTTATAAATTATCAAGGGCTCATGAGGGAGTGGGGAGCGGGGAGGGAGGGGAAAAATGAGGACCTAATGTCAGGGGCTTAAGTGGAGAGGAAGTGTTTTGAGAATGATGAGGGCAATGAATGTACAAATGCGCTTTACAGAATTGCTATATGTATGGATTGTGATAAGAGTTTTATGAGCCCCTAATAAAATGATTAGAAAAAAAAATACCTTTGATGGGGAAACAACTAACCACCTTGTTAGTCCAACTCCGAACTCGTCACTGAGTGGGTCTCTGTGTCTTTAGGGTCCCTGGTGCCTCCGTTGCCATCCCCAGGAAGCCTCCCTTGAGGCCTCTGCCCGGCTCCGCGATGGATCGCTGTGCTGTTCTCTGGCTTCTTGTACATCCAGCTCTTCCCGTTTCTGAGTTTAGCCTCCCTTCTTATTAGAACAAATTCTATTGTGGCTGCCTGAGGATTTATAGCAGGTAGTTTGGGGAGATCTTCTCAAGCGAGCAAGATCTTTTCTCACTCTTCCATGATGAGTGGACCGTCTATCCAGAAAGGTCGGCAGTTCAAACACACCCGCCACTCCACAGGGCGAAGACGAGAACTACTGCTTCCACTGGCAGACACTGTACAGGGTCACCATGAGTTGGGCGATGCAATGGCAGGGTGTGTAGGGTTTTTAGGTTTTTTTGATAAGGGGTTTTAGAAGGGAATGAACAGTCCTTACCTGTTCCTTTGGAGAAGGTCAAGTCACGTGACCTGCTCTTGCTGTCCAGCACCTCCAAAGATCTTTTCTTCCCACTCGATTTTCTCGTGTCTTATCTGCACCCCCACCCGCTAGCTACATTTTGGGTCTATTCTTGATTGGCCCTGAGTACTCAGTAGGTCCTTCCAATTCTGGAAATGTGATGTTTTCGTCCTTTAACTCGGGGACCCTTTTTACAATGACGTCACGGACCATTTCTCAGCCTTTGTTTTCTCTTTTCCATTTCTGTGGAATTGTTGTGTGGCTCCCAGCCCTCCGCGCCTTGCTTGAAAATCCATGTCCTTTTCCTCCTTTGTATCCCATCTCTGTGTGGGTGCTGTACTCTCAGAGAATTCATCATCTTGATCGGTGAAATGTCCCTTGAGTTTTTCATTTATGTTCTCGTTTTCCAAGCGCCCCCTTTGTTCGTTGTTCACCGAGGGCTTGCCTTTCAAAGCCTACAGCACCTCGTTCCTGTTTTGTGGGTTCAAGACTTTCTTATATATCTCTGAGCCAACTAATAATACTCCATTGAATCTTATCCTTGCCATTAGTTTCTTCTAAGTTGCTTTCTGGGTGCCTTTGTGTTGGTCTGTAGCTTGCAAGCTGGAGGATTTCCTTACTTGCTGGTAATCCCTGCAGATCGGCTCTCATTGAGGGGCGGGGTACTAGGAAACTTGAAATGGGGTGGCAAATTCTGAGCCAATAAGTGAGGTCGGTAGGATTGCAAGCCCCGTGGAGTTGGTCAAATTCCTCAGCAATGACTTCATCTAAGATGGTGGAGTGGCTACCCACTGGGTTGCTGACTGCAAGATCAGCAGTTTGAAACCACCAGCTGGTAGAAAGATAGGGCTTTCTACTCCTGTAAAGAGTTCTGGTCTCAGAAACTCATAGGGGTGGCTCTACCCTGTCCTCTAGGGTCGCTTCAGTTTTGTTTGTTTTGTTTTGTAGTGAAGGTGAGGGGGACAGAGGAGGTTGTGGATCTCAGCATTTAGTGAGCACATACTTGCTTTAAACTGCCCCCCCACCCCCACACCCCAAACATACACACAGGGCAGTATACTGCCAGGCCATCTCCCACCATCTCTAGCTCCTGGGCTTTGTAGGGCAGGGTGGAATGGCATGCCTGGCTGTGCAGAGGGAAGGCAGGAGTCTGACCTCTAAACCCTCCCAGCACATCTTTCTATGTGAATCATTTCCCTTCATCACCTTCCTTGCAGAAGTGCCCAGTGCTTCCAATACCTGCGTCTTTTGAGAGTTCATCCCCAAGCTTCCCTCAATACCAGACAAAAGGGGGGCTCCTCAGGGCTTCTCTTGTCTTCTGTCAGCCTGATTACTTCTCCATCTGTCTCAGCCTTCAAACCTGTCAGTGCTACCTCTTTTCCAGTTCCCAGCTTTCTATAGGCTTATGACTTAGGCACCTTCACAGTGGAGTTAAAGTGACCAAGAAGGCTTCCCTCATTTCTAAGGCTTGTTGTAAATTTTGCATGTTGTAAACCTGCATCCTTGCCAGAAGGATTATTGCTTAGTCTGCTCCCCAAGGGGTTGAGCTTTTAGATTGATCTCTAAAGATATAAGGTTGATAAAATCTATAAATTATAATGCCCTCATGGACATATTACCAAGTTCACCCTATAGAAAACTCTAGACAGAATAGTATGAATATGTGTGTATATGTTCTTTAAGTCAGGGAGGTACAGACTCATCTTCAGGTGGCAGGGCTCTGAGGCAGGAGAGAAATATTTACATTCCCAAGGGGGAAAGTTCTGTGTAGCCTTAGCCTCTCTGACATGAGGAAGCAAAGTGGAGCAGAGGCTGAGCCTAAGGGAGAGACACCTACATAAATAAAGGCTCTGGAATGAAACACCATGGAACTAAAGAAAGGCCGATGTGGATACAAACGGTGTGCCAAGAAGGCCCGCCTGAAGTCAGTGGGCAAGAGGCAGTAGCCAGAGATGCACGTGTTTTCAGTTGCGCTGACATGGGGCTGCCGCTTCCTAATTGGGGATGTTGCTCACATTGATGGACCTCAGGAGGGTTAAAAGCAGGTACCGTGGGGAAAACACAGCTTTCTGTCAGCTGGCTAGTCCTTCCATGGGATGATTTGCTATGTGGTAGAGTAACTATTGGGGATGCATGAGGTTTTCCATTCTGAACTGAGGGAGGGACCAGGAAAATCACAGTACAGGGCTCTGGAGAGCGTGTTGGTGACCAAGAGGGACGGAACTCGAGGATGGGGAGTCCAAGGCAAGGTGGGAGAAATGGGGTGAAACTCTTCCCTTCTTAGCTTCTGTTCTGCAAGCCCCCGACCATTTCTTAAAGAAAACAATAGCAGGAGTCAGAGTCAGGAAGAAGGGAGGATGGGAGGGCTTGCAAGGAGGGACATTGGAGTCACCATCATGGAAACTGGATTCTAAGGATGGTCGAAGGATTGACCATCAGAGATGCGCCTCGGAAAATCAGAACTGACAAGGCACTAACTCTAGGGCCCTACTTCACTCGCAGAGATCTCAGTCTGTATTTTGTCATTTTCATTATCTTTTGAGGAAAGTCTAGTACCGCTTGATGCAGCAGCCAGTGTGACTGATTAACCTATTCATGCTGACTGCGTGCCTAAGTAATAAGTTGCGG